GTTTTTTTTTTTTTTTTAAATAATAAATTTATAACAATTCAATAATTCAATGATTCTAGTCAAAATGAATAATTTCTATTGAAACGTTTGAAATATTTATAACAAATTAAAATGTAAAATATGTGACAATATTAACATTGAAATCAGGATTTTAATAGTAATTATAAATCAAAATTATATAATAATAGGGCAAAAGGATTAGATTTGAAAATTAATTAAATTTTTTAAAATTTTGTAATTGTTGTAAATGCGTATAATAAAAAGTTAATTAAATTTTTATTAATTTGAACAAATTATAATTTAATTTTCGTAATACTGAAATGTAGATATTTTGATAAAGTTTTATTAAATGTTTTATTATTTAGTGATTCTATATGGAAATATAATATTATGAATAAGTTGTAAATTTGTATCGATTTAGTTAAATGTATGTAAATAGATGAGAGGGTTTAAGGATCGTGGTAATAATAGTAAAAAATAATATGCTATAATTAAATGAAATTAGGTTGTGAAAGGGGTCGGGTATTGTAATTAAATCGTAGAGATTCAAGTCTATTTTGCGGCATTATCTATTAGGCTAAGTTGTATTGATGAATATTATCCTGAGCTACTACCGGCATGTTCAGACCCATATATCTATCTGGAAGCACGTCCACGATACATATCTGATTACCAGCAACCACCCCGTATTAATTATATTATTCCTATGGAGCATTAATGGACAGGATCGTTATCTTTGGAGGGATGATGGGAGGACGGACGGAAATTATTGACAGTAATAAATATCGCGTCGTCCTAGATTGGATCGCGGTTTTTGGCGTTTTGTAGCGACGCATTCACATTCGGATCGATGCATTTATTTTAGCGAAACAAATCGCCGGAGGGACGAAAAGCGAATCCGAGGGCTTTATTGTGACAATAAAACCTAACAGCTCAATCACCCCGAATTACGTCCCTCCAAAGCCCTTCTCCCAATCCCCGCTACCTTAACCATCCACATCTATAGTTTATTACTTTCTAACACAAAATATAAAACGCTGTTAGTCTTACTATAAAATGCATAACATAAACAAAAGCGGTTAATTGTGCTGTTGTTACAGTTAAATCCTCATATTAACACATCACACGAAGCTTTAATACTTTGCTGACGGATCAAAACCGGGCAAAGGACGAAACTTTATTTACAATACGTCCCCAATTTACTGTTCCAATTCGAGCATCTTTCGCGCCAGAGGAGATACATCATACGGAAACACGAAGGTGTTCCATCCCGAAAACTTCCCTCTTGGCAAAAGCTCTAATAAAAAGGGATACTCCGAACATCACCTTATCCACCCTCTCGTTTTTATTCCCTTTCAGAACTTCCGCTTACTTGATGTGAATTTATTTAAATTTATGCATCGTGCGATTTTCATTTGGAATTTACGGTTACGTCATCAAATAAACATAGTTAACCTGTGAGTATAAAAAAAAAATGCCGCCGTAGCCCCATTACATTTGGAGCCACGTTAATTTAATATAAAATATGTATATAATAAATTCATTTTCCTCACTTGATGAAATCGCGAATACGTTAGGTGTGAATTTATTGAAGGGATTGATTATTCCCGGTTTCCAGTGAAATTCTCGGTTGGAGATCGTCAATTACGGGGTACATTTTTTGTTTTGTTTTTCATCTGCTGCTGCTGCTGCAGTGTTTCACTTTTATTGTCGCTTGCATTCCAGATGACAGACCGGGTGAAACGGGGGTGGCGGACAAAAAGTGGCCAAACCGAATTTCCGTAGAGGAACGGAACAAAAACACGGAGAGAGATTTTGTGATTGACGTTGCCGAGATAAAACGGTACATGCAAATTAAAAGAATTTTATCGAACCCGTCAGTTTTTTGCTTTTCACAAAAATTGTGATGCACAAATCCCTAAAATACTCCGAACAATTGTTTGAGTACCAAAAGGAATGCATTTTTTTGGTATAACACATCTATTTGGTCATTTGTTTTAAAGACCTTCAACATTTCAAGAATATTTAAAAATATATCCGCCAGATTCTATGATAATTTTGTTAATTTAATGTATTTTTTTTAATATTGCATTATTACTTTTATTTTCGGTTATTTGTTTTAATGTTATATAATTCCGGAGCCGAATCGGAACGGTGTTATTGTTTTGCATAAATATTGCAGGGTTATTTAGAAAATAAATGATAAGGTTATCTTTGGGTCTGCTGCGAAACGAAGGGGAGGAAACATTAAGGGCGGTTGTGAAGCACAGATCGGAATACGCGGAAATTATATGCTCGCAAAGTTTGCCGACGTGCATTAAGCGTAATTGCCTAATTTCGGCGCTTACGTAACGTCTTCTGTCGACACTTTTATATTTTATTGTCCGCTTTTGTACGTTTCTGTTCCGCGTTCATATATGTCGGTGAATGCTGTCGACATAAACAAGCCAATGATTGCGGTGCGTTTCAAATACAAAGCGAATGAAGGGGGGTAGCAGAAACGAGGCTACAATCGTGGATCTAGCCATGTTCTGGACGCATTGTTATGTGAATCGAAACAATACACATATCGGTTTCAATGTCAAAACATGAAACATTCCGGCCGAGCTTTTGGCTTTCCCTTTGACTCTACGAGTTCACTTTGATGATAAACGTCGCGTAAGAGTATTCTTTGATGACACATTGAGATGTTTCTAGTTTAATCATATTGATTACCTGCCAAATATCATAATCCATTTTTATTTAAGATAATTTTGGAGGATGTACAACGATGAAGTAATTGTATTTTGTGTTGTTCTTAGAAATACTGTGTGATAATTTTGAGACATCATCAATAAAGTGTAAAGAAAATATTGCAGGTTTTAATTAATAAAGTAATTAGTACAACAAGCTGCACGAATAACTATAAAGTAAGTCTTTTGTACGATTTCTCCATTATTTCGCATTCGTATGCTTTTTCGCGCGATTGACCCAGATTTATTGGGGGATGAATCGTTCAGGGGCAATTGATTTCCATTTATCTCTGTTAAAATCGCGAGGAATTCTTTGAAGGCGGTTTGATTTGGGCGGCCGCGACTAGTACGTCGTCGTCGACGCCGCCTCCTCCTTCTTACTTCAGAAAGTTAAGATTAATGGTAAGATTTGGCAGATTTTCGTGCAATAACTTACCATTAAGAACGTGTACACCGACGGTAGCGAAAGCCAAAGAGCCGACGGAGCAAGTGTAGTTGCCAGAATGGTCCCTGCGTAGTGGAGCCATGGTCAGAGTTGAGGTGGCCGTATCAGAGACGGCGGAGCTGTTGGAGCTGTGGACGAAGAAACGAACAAATTATTTGCGCAAATTCAACGCAAACCATCGTCTTTCGCACTCAATATTTTATTTTCGCGTACGTGTAATTGATTTCCCAAGTGTGAAGTCTGCAAATTCCTTCAATTTTCCGTGTTTTTTTTTCACTACCACCCGATCACTTTCGAGACGTCCATGTTCTCATCCTCGTGAGGGGATGATTTCTTTTTTTTTTCTAGACGCGCTTTTGGTTATACGAGATTCTTGGAGAGAAGCGGTGTATCCGCATTGGAAACGTATTATAGTATAAAAGGAGATTTCGGATCGCGGTGGTAATGGGCGAAAAGGGCCATACGGAGACGCGCACACGCGCTTTCCATAGTCATAATAAAATTGTCTCCGAGTGTACAACACAAATGCATTAGCATTAGCTGAAAGTTGTCGCCGGTATAATTTCCCTAGGTGGAACTTCTATCTGGCCTTCGACTTCAGTTTTTGTTGAGAAACTTTCGGAGCGAAAGCCGTGACAATTTTATGTCTGCTTTCCTGTACCTCTTTTTTTTTTCTTCTTCTTCTGTCACCTTGCCTCGCCTCATACCAATTAAGCCTTTCCCGAAAAATATGATTTCGTGTATTCATCAGGCCCCATTCATTTCAATTACCTAGCTCATTTCAATATAACTCACTCCCGCCCTAAGAGCTCCATCAGAACCTAATTAAAAGGCACCTTTAACTTAACATTTTCATGATGATGAGAAATGCTTATGCCGTGTTCACACCTCCGCTATACCCAAGCTGTTGTTTTCTTTTCAACATTTTAAGACCCTTCAGAAGTATGAATTATGATGCAATTTTAACTACGATAATAATCCAAAATTTCCTCTATAATAATCTCTTACGTAACACCTTGACTAAATTACCTAAGTGTATATTAAAATATACAATTTATATGTTGAACATATTTTTTTTGTTAAAGATATAAATAAATTTCAAAATTGTATTAACCTAGGATAAAAAAAAAATTGTTGTCAAAAAGTATTAAAAATAAATTTTAATTGTTAATTACAGAAAATTAAATAATTTTACTGTTTATCAATCTTTATATTTCACTAATTGTTACGAAATAATAAAATAAAAAGAGAAAGTATTTCCAAGATTATCTTATGTAATGTATAATTTTGGTTTTCTTTTCAACATTTTAAGACCCTTCAGAAGTATGAATTATGATGCAATTTTAACTACGATAATAATCCAAAATTTCCTCTAACAAAAAAAATATGTTCAACATATAAATTGTATATTTTAATATACACTTAGGTAATTTAGTCAAGGTGTTACGTAAGAGATTATTATAGAGGAAATTTTGGATTATTATCGTAGTTAAAATTGCATCATAATTCATACTTCTGAAGGGTCTTAAAATGTTGAAAAGAAAACAACAGCTTGGGTATAGCGGAGGTGTGAACACGGCATAAGCATTTCTCATCATCATGAAAATGTTAAGTTAAAGGCGCCTTTTAATTAGGTTCTGATGGAGCTCTTAGGGCGGGAGTGAGTTATATTGAAATGAGCTAGGTAATTGAAATGAATGGGGCCTGATGAATACACGAAATCATATTTTTCGGGAAAGGCTTAATTGGTATGAGGCGAGGCAAGGTGACAGAAGAAGAAGAAAAAAAAAAGAGGTACAGGAAAGCAGACATAAAATTGTCACGGCTTTCGCTCCGAAAGTTTCTCAACAAAAACTGAAGTCGAAGGCCAGATAGAAGTTCCACCTAGGGAAATTATACCGGCGACAACTTTCAGCTAATGCTAATGCATTTGTGTTGTACACTCGGAGACAATTTTATTATGACTTTGGGAGGCGCGTGTGCGCGTCTCCGTATGGCCCTTTTCGCCCATTACCACCGCGATCCGAAATCTCGTTTTATACTATAATACGTTTCCAATGCGGATACACCGCTTCTCTCCAAGAATCTCGTATAACCAAAAGCGCGTCTAGAAAAAAAAAAGAAATCATCCCCTCACGAGGATGAGAACATGGACGTCTCGAAAGTGATCGGGTGGTAGTGAAAAAAAAACACGGAAAATTGAAGGAATTTGCAGACTTCACACTTGGGAAATCAATTACACGTACGCGAAAATAAAATATTGAGTGCGAAAGACGATGGTTTGCGTTGAATTTGCGCAAATAATTTGTTCGTTTCTTCGTCCACAGCTCCAACAGCTCCGCCGTCTCCGATACGGCCACCTCAACTCTGACCATGGCTCCACTACGCAGGGACCATTCTGGCAACTACACTTGCTCCGTCGGCTCTTTGGCTTTCGCTACCGTCGGTGTACACGTTCTTAATGGTAAGTTATTGCACGAAAATCTGCCAAATCTTGCCATTAATCTTAACTTTCTGAAGTAAGAAGGAGGAGGCGGCGTCGACGACGACGTACTAGTCGCGGCCGCCCAAATCAAACCGCCTTCAAAGAATTCCTCGCGATTTTAACAGAGATAAATGGAAATCAATTGCCCCTGAACGATTCATCCCCCAATAAATCTGGGTCAATCGCGCGAAAAAGCATACGAATGCGAAATAATGGAGAAATCGTACAAAAGACTTACTTTATAGTTATTCGTGCAGCTTGTTGTACTAATTACTTTATTAATTAAAACCTGCAATATTTTCTTTACACTTTATTGATGATGTCTCAAAATTATCACACAGTATTTCTAAGAACAACACAAAATACAATTACTTCATCGTTGTACATCCTCCAAAATTATCTTAAATAAAAATGGATTATGATATTTGGCAGGTAATCAATATGATTAAACTAGAAACATCTCAATGTGTCATCAAAGAATACTCTTACGCGACGTTTATCATCAAAGTGAACTCGTAGAGTCAAAGGGAAAGCCAAAAGCTCGGCCGGAATGTTTCATGTTTTGACATTGAAACCGATATGTGTATTGTTTCGATTCACATAACAATGCGTCCAGAACATGGCTAGATCCACGATTGTAGCCTCGTTTCTGCTACCCCCCTTCATTCGCTTTGTATTTGAAACGCACCGCAATCATTGGCTTGTTTATGTCGACAGCATTCACCG